AGTGGTCGAATATGTCATACAGGGGGCCTTTGTAGTATATTAACTCATGTGAAACGTCATTTTGATTTGTAGAATGGGACGGGATGTGTTTTCTGACGGTCAAAGGTTCCTCTACACGCTNGTCGGAACCATATCGGCTCAGTCTATATTAGATTACCTGGCAAAGGGCCCAGCAAGAACAAATCAACTTCCCCAAGATGCCATCAATATGCTCGACAATTTATTGAGGTGGATAAATAAAGAACACTATACTCTGATCAAAACTGGGTTGTTTAAAGAGAGTGAGCAGAAAAGCGATATGGTTATTTTCAAGGGTTTCTCAGCAAGTGTTCGTCCACAATGGAAACTTAGGATCAACGTGGATCTGGTAAAGTTGCTCTCTACTTGGCCAAAATTTCTCGTGTTTGATTTTGAAATTTATATTTTTATATTTTTTATATTTTTAGAACTTCAAGGCCTTTTTCCCCTCTGGTAATCTCGCCGATGTAATATATAATATGAAAGGGAATGATATGTACGATAATAAGTATTGGAATGAAATTAGCGAACGAATAAAACACCTCGTTGTAAGAGCAGACCATTACGTGAATTCCGGTTAGTTCCCTTGCTCATACGCACTCAAATTTAATGTTCGTTTATTTATAACTTTGGTGTTTTATTCTTGGTGCAAACAGATGTGAGTGGCTGTCAATTTGAGGTAAAGGTGGAGAAGGATTTATTGGGTGACAATAAGGATTCTTACTATTTAGCTTGTAAGAACACGTAAAGTTATTTTTAAGGAATTTAAAGTTTGCTTGCACTAAATTAGATGTCATGGTTGAGAATGCCGTTCTACTGTGCGTCATTTCGACCACTACGGTCTTTGGTAGAAGTTAAGTCAACTGGAAGTTGGGTAATAGAAGTCTTAGTGGTTAACTGCGCCTGAGAAGAGTGATTTCATATTTAGTGCCAGAGCATTGTTATTATGTGAGAATCCATATTTGTTTGATAGTTTCATGCTTTGGGGAGCTTCCCCTACTCCTCTTGAAGTGGGATCTGCGATTTTATAGACAGTGGTTGGAGCTTGTTGTTCTAACAAATGCAGCCTGTCCTTCCACGTTTGGATGCATTTTTTCTAGTCAGGACTTTTTGCAAAATATCATTGCTATCTGTAGGCTGTAGGAAGCTTTATTGTAAGAGGGTAAGAGAGACTTCTCAAGGGAGGTCGAGAATAGCGAAATATTCTGTTCTTAAGAGGGTCTTGAGTGTGTTGTTATTGGCCTTAGCACTGTTATAAAAGTTGTCCTAATTGAGCTTGGGCTCTTCTTGTAATTAGGTTCTTAATTCGTCGTGGTTTAGAATAAGCCGCTGTTTGTCTCCGTATGTTGTTCACCCTACCAAAATTGGTTTAGTTAATGTAACTCTTAACTCTAGATACGAAAAAGAAATATTCAAGGCGTCTCAAAGTGTATGGCTTATCGCCTAGAAGTGCTCAAAAACAGATAATTGAGGATATGAACATCTCAATCGCAACGTACTTCCAAAACAAATACAACATTAAATTAAAATATCCCGAACTTCCTTGCGTGAAGGTAAGTGAGGTGTTTGCGCGTATTGATTTTCTACAATTCTCTCCTTTACAGACCAAAAAGAACAAGGACGAGTTTATACCGATGGAACTCTTAGAAATTATGCCTTTCCAAGCACCAAACCTAGAACCTAGTGTATTGGCTTCCGAAATAGTACGTATCGCGGCAGTGAGACCCGAGCAACGTTTCCGAAAAATTAGCGATTTCATCAGGACCGCTATTAGGTGCGTAAAATTACTATAAATTGTGAAATAACCCCTTTTTACTTCCGGAAATATTGTCATTATTGTCAATCTTTTGTATTGTTAAGGTGTTGCATCTGTTATAATTACGATATCCAGTAAGGTAAAGCTGCAAAGCGTAACTTTCCTTCAGTTTTATATGAAAAGTAGAACTGCTGCTTGTTTGTTGGAAGAGTAGTTGACTATTTGGTTGTCTTCGAATGCATCATTGAGGAGACTTGATTCTCAGTAATGACCTCGAGGAACACTAGTAAGAAAAGTAGATTGTGATGTGATTGCACAACTGCAAAGGCGGAGATCACGAGAACCGAATTGTCTCAACCCCCACTGTCGAATTCCACTGTTAACTTTCTAGTCAATAGCTGAAACTTGTTTCACCGCGACTCGCAAGAAATCGGTATATTGATGAAGTGAATGATTATTCGTCTAGTTGGCATTTAATAACGTTGTGATGTGATTTTGTGTGAGTTTTATTTTAGGCAATCGCCCTTAGTTGACGCGTTGAGATTGAGACTCCCATCCCCAAATCCCGTTACTGCTGAGGCAAGAGTTCTTCCCACTCCACGTTTTGCGGCTTCGAACGCGTTTGTATCGAAAGGCGCATGGAGAACCACTTCTTTTAAAGTGCCAGCTTCTAGGGAGGTGAATTATGCCATCGTCAACTTTTCCAGATATTTCAATGCTTTGGAAAGGACTAAAAGAGATATTGATTCGGCTGGAACACAACTTGGCCTTCATCTTCGATTTACGAAGTGTTTGTCGAATATTCAGGTCGCTGAACTTCCAAATTGTTTCAGAAGACTTCGCAAAGAGGTGAGTGTTTTCTCCTTCGTTAATTTCATTCAATCAGCCATTGGCGTTACATGTGGGTCGCTTTCTCCCTCGTGTAGGGTGTGAAACTGGCTATTTGCGTTCTGCCCAAAGTTGGACCCTACAGCGATATCAAGCGCGCTTCTGAGTTTCAGGAGTTTTTGGTGACGCAGTGCGTCAAGGACGGCACATTAATTAGACCGAACGCGTGGTGTAAGTAGTATTTAATGGTACTCTTTTATCTCGTCCCACCAAATGTGACTGGATGGGTCTCTCTTTTGTAGCTAATATTTTGCTGAAAATCAACGGCAAGTTAGGGGGTGAAAATTGGGAACTCGATGGAATGGAAGGATATTGGCGCAATGACATTGTCATGGTTGTCGGCGCCGATGTTACACATCCTGGACCAACTAAAATAAATGCCTTGAGGAAATCGATCGCGGCTGTTGTTGGTTCGATTTCCCCCAACTACATGAAGTATGTGGCTGTCGTGAAGCAGCAGGATTACCAGATCAACGATGAGACACCTACCGCTCGTGAGTACATAGACGATATGGAGGGAATGTTCGAGCAGCTTTTGCAGGTATGTCTCATGTTGATGTCGTGTCGTATTTAGTACCATAGTTGTCGACTCCTAATGTCAGGTATTAAAGAATCCATTTCTGCTAATGCACATTAAAATGGTCTTATTTTATGAGAATTAGTTGAGTTTTGTTGCATGTTGTAGTACTTAACGTGCACGTCTGTCAGGTGGAAATCAATACTCCATTGTGCAGGTCTACTTGCGTTAGTGCCCAAATGCCTTGGCTAATTCTAGTGACTAAAGCGGTAAAAAGTTGGTCTTCATAAAGACCAGCTCTAGAATTCATTCTCTTCCAACTTCGACTATTGTGTGGATTCCCATAACGGGTTGGAGCAGTTTTTCGTGTGTGGCTAATAAAATGTTGAGTAGGTGCGAGTTTTGATTCCACTATGAGAGCTCTGTAATGATGCCCCTCCTTCATTGTCTAAGTTTGGGGGTGTGGACTAGTTGTATATGGCATTCTAATTTTCAGACGTAACCCATTTTATCATTAAAAATTAGGAATCGGTTTTACGTAGACCCTTTTTGTTAACATGGCATCTGCTGCATCTTTTCATAGGCATTCTACAGAAAAAATAATACACTGCCCACCAAGGTAATCTTCTACCGTGATGGTGTTTCGGAGGGTCAGTTCGACTCAGTTGTGGTTCGAGAACTCGGTGCAATGCAACGCGCCTGCACGAATTTGAGAGTGGGTTACCAGCCAGGTTTCACCATCATAGTAGTTCAGAAACGTCATCACATTCGGTTCCTTCCTACTGAAAAGAAGTATGTCTTGCGCTTTCTGTTGTGCCTCTCGTTTCCTTTTCTTATGTTTTTTAAACGCTAGTGTTTCTTTGTGCACATTTTAGCTTAGTTAACGTCAACCCCGGCACAGTAGTGGATACAAATATAACGCATCGTCGTGAATTCGATTTCTACCTGTGCTCACAGCAGGGAATTCAAGGAACTTCGAAGCCAGCCCATTACCATGTCATCTATGATGATAATGATTTGGGCGCGGACGAATTGCAGTTGTTTACCTTCTATTTGTGCCATGTCTATATGAGGTGCACACGAAGTGTCTCCTACCCTGCACCCACCTACTATGCGCACTTGGCTGCGTTTAGAGGAAGAGACTGGATGAAAGGCATCAACAACCCTGAAACATTGCTTGAGAATAACCAATTCAAACTTTTGCCTGAACAGAGAGATTTGATGTTCTTTTTGTAGAAGGTTCCTTTGAGTCAGTTATATCAGTAAGAATGCTTATTGACACTACTTCTATTTTCTGGGCGAATTGCTCTTCAGCCGCATTTCTTGTGAAAGTGCATCCAAGTGGAAAGAAGCACAAACAGTTGGAAGTGGGATTGAATTGGGCGTATCGGCGATCGGAAAGTGGGGAATTGCGGGTTTTATAAGTGTTGGTGCAGTTGTAGGAGAGAGAATTACCAAAGGCCTGACCTACTCTAGTCAGAAATGCCTGTAACAAAGAGGAGGAAAGTGTATAGTGGGTAAACGCGAGGAAGATCATTAATTAGCCAGTGGTGATGTGAAAGGAAAGTGGCCGGACTTTTCAATAACTCAGGAAAGTGGATTGAGAAAGCATTGGTGGGCTGGTCGTCACCTCCCCTCCCCTTCTCTCAATCTGCCTCAAACCAGAACAATTGGTCATGTCGCCTACAATGTGTGTATCACTATAAAAGGAAACTAAGATGAAATAAATCTCTCAAGGACGTATAAAAGCAGTTATGACTACCCAATAGTGAAACGGAAAGTGTGTATTGAATTGCAGAATAACTCATTAATCCACACAATGATGCCCAGATTACAAGTTATTTACATTTATTTATTTATATCAAATGGTAGGCGTTTTGACAGTTATCATCAGCCCTTAAGTTGACTCCAGGCTTCACAGAAGGGAAGGAACATCAAAGTGAAAAAAGTCGAGAGAGGGGGAACAGAAGAGTGTTTCAAAGATTTAAAAGAGGCAGACACAAAGATAGAAAAAGATGAGGTGAGTATTGTGGAAATAGTCGAATATGACATACAGTGGGGTGGTG